TCTAAGAGATTATGGTATATAATACAGGATTTGAAATGCATAAGTGTACGTTGAAGTTTGAATACCTCACATTTCTTAGTATAAATAGATTTACAATAAGAATGACTTTACTTCTTTTGAAAGTGTTTCGTTTTTCAAGATGTGTATGTAAAATGTACGATTGACTCATTAACTATACCCATTATAGTTTTTCAGAAAGTATGTTCCATTTGGTGAAAATAACTTGGTGATATAATAGCCCTTTATACATAAAGATGTTTGTATCAATATTCAAAGATAGACATTACATTTATGTTTATAAAATGATACTTTAACGTGTAATGTAATTGTATCACCCCCCCTAAAACATGAAAAGAATTGAAAGGTAGGGGTATGAACTCACTCGTTTGGTTCGAAGAGAGAGAGAGGCTAAAGTTGAGCAGAACTTTCGTCACGAAAACCTGCGTCTTCGGGCTCTTCGGGGATCTCGGTACCGTAGATCTTTCGTCGGGGGCTCGGGTACGGAAACCGAGGTGTCGGGATGGTCTGTGGAGCTCTAGCGTGTGTAAAAGTGAGAGAGGATATGAGAATTGTGTGCAAAAACCCGAAGCTCAACCTCTCTATTTATAGGCTGGAGGATCCTCGTACGCGGAGCGTACTGCCGGAGTACGCTGGGCGTACCCAGTACGCAGGGTGTACTTTGGTTACGCGGGGCGTAAAAATGCGTCACGGCTTACGACTCAGGTCTAGCTAGCGTAGAGCACTCGAGCCGATGGGACTTGACACTGGGTCTAGTACGCGGGGCGTACTCTGGGATTACGCGGGGCCTAATCCAGTCTTCCATCTTCTAAATTCCGTAACTTTCGCATACGGGCTCCGTTTTTCGCGTTCTTTATATCCACGCGTAGGTGAGATTATGCTCTAAAACTTTCATTTAGACTGCGTCGGCTAGTTTTGATTTATTTTTAATGATATATTGTTAATAGGCCGGGACTACTAAAGTCCGTTAAAAATTCATAGTTTCTTTATTCGACGTCGGTTTTTGTTTGTCTTTTTATCATTTTATTACTATTGTGGAGATCTTCAACTTCCGTTTAGGTGGCGATAACTAAATAACACTCAATCTTCAATTCGAGTTTTTAGCCCTCTACTACTGTTACAAAACTTAGGAAATTCGTAACTTCTTCATACGAGGTCCAATTTGGGCGATCTTTTTATGTATGTTTACAGTCTAACGAACTCTACATCTTTTGTTTAGATACTTAAGGCTAAAATGCATTTTATTGAAATTTCACTTTTTACGTTAAATAGCGTTTTAACGGTGTGTCGTAAATATACGAGTGGTTATAATTTCTTCAATATAACCCGATTTTGAACGCTCTTTAGGTTTTTGGAAACCTTGGCACGATATCTAACATTTGATGTATCCCAATTTAGATATTTGAACACTTTATTTTTGAGGTTAATTTAATTGACTCCAAATAATTTTTTTTTGTATTTGACTTTTGAGTGTTACACTGCTTTTGGAAAAATATCGGGTTGTCACATTTAGTGTGCCGGTTAACCACACACGCTCCATTGAGCGACTAAAACACAGTGCAAAGTGTAATTTCATGAATTAGCACCTTATTCACTTTTTACTAAGTAACTAAAATTGGGTATTTATAAAAGGTTTACTTACTTAGTATTTATCATTAATACTTTTAATGAAGGGAGAATTATAGTCCTTGTCCTACCCATTCGGCTAACGACCCTCCACCAGACAAGGAAGCGGTGGGTGAGAATGGACACCCATTAAACTGCCATTTTATAGGCAGTAGCCTTACACCCCCTTATTGATCGGCTTCGTGAATAAGGCCTACTAACGGTAAGACTGACTTTACTCTTATACATAAATATAAATATTATTAACTTATAATATTATAAAGTATAAGGGTTGAATTTTAACCTTTAAAATTCTAAGGGCTAACTTGGAATTAAAGTATTCATAAGTGAAAACTTTTCAAATTCCAAAACTTGAGGGCAAGTTTTGAAACTATTCAAAACTAATTAATTCCGTAACTTATGTGTTGAAAGTAGTTTTAATTAAAAGACTCTTCAAGTTCCATAACTTGAGGACAAGTTATGGAAAACTTTAAACTAATAAAAGAATTTTACTTTTCCTTTATTTTGTAACTTATGGAATTAATTAAGGTTACACATTTTATTACTTAATGAAGTAACTCTTGAACCTCCATAACTTGAGGACAAGATTCTTCATTTTTTGTAACCATTGCTAATTTTTACGAGTTTTATGAAACTTAAATGTGACTTTTCATATAACTTGAGGACAAGTTACAAAAACACATTTTAGAATTAACCCTTAGATTAAAATGGATTGAAAACACATAATCAATTAACTTTTCTATCAATCTGAGCAACTCATAAGAATAAGATAAGTCAAATCAAACTTTTTTATGTAATTCGCCAAATCACTAAACTAATACAAAACATGAATCTATTGACAGTTATCTTTGAAATTGGATTAGCATGAACATTACCACATCAAAAACAACTTTATAAGTCCAAAAGCAGCTTAGGGTAATGCTCCTAGTCAATTTCTAGCCAAAAAAACTCGAAAATATGTTGTTTGGGGCTCCTACTCATCGAGTGTATCAACCTACTCGACGAGTAGGATGAGTTTTGCCTTGCACTCGGCGAGTTCATCAGTGGACTCGGCGAGTCCAGTACCCAGAAAGCCAGAAAATCGATTTTTTAGCATTTTTCAGCAATTTGCATCAAGTATAACTGAAAACAAGCCTAGGCTCTGATACCAATGTTGGGTTTTGAGCATTATAACACACCTAAGTGTACATGCAATCCTAAATACCTTGGATCTATGTTTTCTCTATAATACATGCAAATATGAACTTTCCAAGGTATTCATCCTAACTAGCATAATAACATTGATTCAAATGAATATATATATATATATATATATATATATATATATATATATATATATATATTTAGTTAGAGTTGCATACCTCTTTGATGTAGATTGTTTTCATGAAGCTTGAGTGCCTAGTGCTCCAAGTGTGACACCTCAAATGGTTCACACAACACCAAATACACATGGAATGACTTGAGAGGAATTCACACTTCATGAAAATCGGCTAGCCCTTTCTATTACCCATGGTAGCCGATTTTCTCCAAGAATAAGATCATTATATAGTTAGGGTTACACCATGTACACCCTAATTGTTATGGCCTTTTATTTCCATGATCCATGGGTACAAATACACCATGGAGCATCTTATAGGTTTTAGCCCAACTTGACAATCCATGAAGCATTAGCCCACTTTACAAGTACGGATGATTTACACAATCAACCCATATATTTAATTAGTCTTATTTTGATCACTTAATTAATCCTAGATTAATTCTTGATCAATGCTAATTAAATAATCGTATTAATATATTAGAACTTATAATATATTAACAAACCTTAAGTGTTATTTCTCCCATAATAGTCTATCCAAATGCATGATGCCATGCAACCCAAATGGACCATGTCGAGTCGGGTCAAGTATTACCAATTATAGTTATGGTCTTAGACACTAATCCAACAATTTTGATGTTTAAAAATGACATATATGATATTTTGAAATTTTATGAAGGGTAAATATGATATTTAAATTTTTTATGAAGGGTAAATATGATATTTAGAAATTAAGTTGGGTAAATACTATATTTTGATGTTTAAGAATAGCATATATGAAATTATCCCTTTCAATTATAACTCAAAGAAAACAAGAAATTACTTGCTTCAGTAATTGTGTTTTGTTTAGGTGTTTTATAGTTTCAATTTTTCTAGTTTTCTTGTGCTTATGTTTTTCACCTTTTAGTGTTTCCCAAAAATCCATAATCAAAAGGGAAATGCCAAATTAGATAAATAAACAAATAAACAATTAATTAATTAATTAATTAATTAATTAAAAGAATAAAAAACCTAGGTGTTTTCTATTTTCTCTTTTCTATAGTTTATTATGCTTATTTGAAAAAAAAAATATGAATCTGGGTATGAAAGATGTGATGAAAAACAGAGAATATAAGAGTTTACAAAATTTTAAGAAGCATTTGTAGTTAGGTTTATAAAATAACAAGCATCAATCTTTCTAGAAAGTGAAAAACAAATTTTTAATCATGATCATGTTTGTTTAAATGATGGTGATATGCTAATAATGTTAATATTGATGTTCATGATATTAATGTTAATGATGATATTGTTGATCATGTTGATGTTATTGACGAAAATATTGATGATCACTACTAGAAAAACAGTCTTTTACGATGCACATTGCATGTCGTAAAACGCTCAGATGACGATCAGATGCGCGTCAATGAAGACTCTGTCATAACGAGAGACGACATGCTTTTGCGCGTCGTCTATTTACGACACGCATTTACGGCGTACAATTATGACAAACAATGCGTATCAAGGAAGGACTTGTCATAAAGGAAGACGATATGCATTTACGTGCCGTAACCTTACGACACGCATGTTTATGACACGCAAAGCGTATCAAGGAATCCCATATCATAAAGGACGACGACATGCCAATGTGTGTCGTAACTTTACGACGCGCCTTTATGACTCACAATGTGTATCATTAAATCTACTGTGATAAACAAATATGACACGCATTTGCATGTCATAAATTCCAGCTGCCATTAACTATACACCTTTACGACGTGCATTTACGACACACATTTACAACATGAATACATATAATAAAAAAACAAATATATATACCAAAGAATTCATTTTCATCTAAACGTCAAGCAAGTTACATATCTGTCGAATTACCTACTACATGTTAGGTTACCTAAGTAACGTTAGTAAAAGTTAACAGAAACATGTACATGCGTGTCAAAAGACTACCTAGCATTACACCACATGTCAAAAGACCATACCTAGCATATCACTGTTAACCATAACATTGTTTTGTGGATATATTGCCAAAAGACCATACATATCATCAAGAAATGAAGCCTGTAACAAACTCTGACCATTCTTCACGTATCTCATTGATATCATCAGTTGTGTACTCAACTTTTCCATCCCTGAACTGTGAAAAAATTTGCATATTGTTTTTATTAATAAAAAATAGCGTATTAGCATATTCTATAACAGTAAGTTGCAATATTTAACAAATAAGCATAAAATGTAAATTAGTCTTTCTTAATAGAGCATTGTATTTCCAAATGAATGAAAGCACATTGTTATTGTTGCATGTAACCTAATATTTCAATTGTAATTGTGAGAGTAGGATGCCATAAAATGATCCTTTTTCAATTCCTTTCCAATTAAATTATAGTAATGAATGTAGAATGCGATATCCTTACATTGTCTTTGACCGACACTTCAATTCCTTCTTCCATTATCTCCTTCATGAACCTTATCATGCAGTAGCCACATTCGGTAGATCCGAGCTGAACTGAACACTACACAATTACATATAAAATGATCACTGCAATTGATCTAAAAAATAAAGTTAAAACTGTAATGTCAATAAGGAATTAAGTGTTGACCGTAACATTAACCCAATTTAGTTTAACCCTTTTGTTGGATCCACTTTGTGTAGTGTACAAAACCACTTCCCTATAAAAAAATCACAAATAGGTGTTTATTTTATTCACATCAACTGTTTTGATAATTTATATTACTTGCGAATCAACAATTTGCTTCAACTGCATATTGAAATTGCTAGAACTCAAGGAATCAAGATAATAGCATGAATCCAATTTCATGTCTAGTACACCCAATACCTAATGTCTTCTACAAAAACCACAAAAAAAAATTAAGCAAATAACATAATTGCTGTCATCTTAAAAATAAAATGTCAAAATCAAATACGGGATCGTAAGGATAAAGACAATGTCATTGCCCTTTCTATTAGACAACCGATCTACTAAACCTCTGCTTGCATCGTCAATATTCTTAGATTTCCATTTACGTGTACTTGGTGAGATTAATGTCAAGTGCACAAAGAAATTTCCATGATCTTTTTCTGGGGGGCCATACATCATTTTGTTAAAGAACACCCTATTATCATACAAATACTAAATTCATTAAACAAATTTTGTTTTAAGAGATAGTATTATTTAAATTAAATTTCTTGCACTTACATCATATAAGACACAATGACAGCACCAATCAACTTGCCCATCAGCCATCATTGCAGTCAAACTCATCCAAAAAGATTGTACCCAAAAAGATCGTTCTCACTCTGCAGTTTTATAGAATCAACCTTTGTAACTTGCCCATCAGCCATCATTGCAGTCATTTTCAAAATACTACTCTTCTCAATCCTTACCATTGTCTTCATCTGTGCTCTGATCCACCTTCTTTCCAAGGTCAGATTTTGTTTCTCCTTTTTAATCTTCTTTTCTATTACATTCCATTCTTCCATAGCATCACCTTCTTCGACATCATATGGTTCTTTTTGTCCATCAACCATATTTCATGTCCCCTTTTCTTTCTTATTAATTTATACTTCTTCTTTTAAAGGTGTTGCACCTTCCTTCACTGGTGTTGCATGTTTTTTCACAGGTTTTGCCACCACTTTTCCCTACAAAAATTATCAAAAATATAGAATGCAAACAGGAATCATTTACTGAAGCTGAAAAAGAACTCACTCAAATATCAGAAAAAATAAGAAAACCAAGGGCAAATCTATGAAAACTTTGTATGTTTTAAATCTGTGAAAATTACCAGGTCAGAGCATCGAATAACTAAGTGTATTGGCCAACATAGTATTTATCACAGTGCATCTTTGACCTTCACAATGAACTCCTCTTGAAGTGGAATTGATATTAAAACTTCTCCTTGTAAAATTGTTTCCATCATAACTTGAATGTTTTCATCTATTACTTAAACGTAAAAAATAATTAAGATCCAATCTTCTAAAAAATGAAAATATATAAATAGTAATAATGAAAATATTTTTCTAAATACCCGTTGCACTATACTTCATAATGGTTCCTTTGGTGACTACATTTGCAGCAAATTCAACCACAAGAAGACATGAATTATCCTTACAAAATATAATATTTATGTTAGTTTGTAGAAAAAGAAAATACTTTAAATATATTTTTCATAATTGTCTTCAAGGACTTACAAGTGATTCATCCCGTGGTTATTTTTCAACATCTTCAACGACGCCCCCTACTTGGAAACTTGCAGCTTCAGAAGCATTAAATACACCTCTTTTTAGTTTCTCCAACTCGTCTTCAAGTTTGTTGATTCATTTATCCATCCTCTCGTTCTCAATCTCCAAGTAATACTTAACGTTCTTGGGTAAATAAAAGTATTGTTGTGGCGTTATAAATTTACCCATCCCTCGTGCATGCTCATGTTGTTCCTGAGTACCAAGGCCTCTATAACTACATCATGTGTTCCACATGTAACCTCTGCAAAGCTTCCCGATTTCTGCAACTCATCCTGTATAAAAATTGGGAGAAATGTTAGAAAAAAACGGGACAAATGTTATTTTTTTATATATTTGGAATTCAATGAAACTTATAATTTTATCAACAATCATCTTGATATCTGATTCATATCCTCCTGTCTTCAACTCTTGCTTTTTTCCACAACAATGTCCTATCAATCTCCTCTTCCATCTTACCGGTTTCTTGCATCTAAATTATCAAAAATAACAATGTCAATTAACATAAATATATACAAATAAAATAATCAATACTTAGTGGGAATCATACAATGTCATTAATGAGTCTGGCATATCCTTTTCTACTCAAATGATGACTGTATTTATGATGTGCACGGGTACTTTTAGCTTTCGTACTTTTCTCCTGCATTAGAAACATTAAAATTGTAACTTCAAACTTTTAACTTTCCCACTTTTTTGTAATTCTATGGGATACAAATGCATATAAGAAAACTTTAACAAACCTCCCACTTTTTTGTAACTCTATAGGATACAAAGACTTTCCAGTCTTGTTTCTTTATAAGCGGATAATCTTTCAGAGGTTTCAATAGATTTGCCTTAGGATCTTTACTTCGGTTCTTAATGAACTTGGCATATATATAATCCTTTCAGTTTCTCAATCGATTGGAGAGTTTGCTTCTGGATCATTGGGTCAACTATAAACTTTTCTTGAAACATAAAAAAGGGTTGTCGATAACCAGGGACAAAAACAGATCTGAATAGGGACAAAAGCAGAAACAGTGGATAATATAACTTGGTTCAAAAACAGGGACAAAAACAAGGACAAAAGCAGATATGAACAAAGGTAATGATAGGTAAAAACAGATACTTACCAAAACATATTGCCATAACCCTTCCCTTACGTCATCTCTAACTTCCAACCATGACTCATAGGTTATCGGAACTATTGTTCTTGCAACCAAACCCTCAAAAGTAGATAGTTTTATAGCTTCCTTTCCAACCGGGACACATGTTTTATTATAAGTTACTACAAGTTTCACTTTATTAGCTTCTGCCTTTGTTGTCGGACCTCTTTGTTTGGAGTCCTCATCGTGATCAGAAGTTGAATCCGATTCCATGTCACAAAAACACAACCTGTTTCCACAAGATTCAGATAAAGGAGGTATGGGATCTTACATACCCTTTAAGTGTTTTGATGTATCTCTCAAATGGATACATCCACCTAAAATGAACCGGGCCACACAACCTCACCTTTCTAACTAAATGTACCATCAAGTGAGTCATGACATCGAAAAATGGAGGAAAGTACTAACCTGAACAACATTACTACACAGCTCATTGAAAAAATAACACATGTTTAGGATTATTCTCTGCACCTTCACATCTAACACCCCTTTAATTGCAATGGGGAGAAGTTGTTGCATTAGTACATGACAATCATTAGACTTCAAACCATTCATCTTTGAAACATCATCCGACACGAGATTCTTGAAATTAGAGCAATACCCATGAGGAACTTTTATGTTAGACAGGGTATCATAAAGTAGAAGTTTCTCTACGGAATTCAACGTGTACTTGGCAGGAAGAAGCCAATGTCGATCTCCTTTTGGTTGAGATCGTAATTCAGTCTTAATGTCCAACGCTTCAATATCTTGTCGTGATTTTAATCCATCCTTCGCTTTGTGTGGCAAATTCAACGCTATCCCATAAAGAATCCTGGTCACATTTTTTTTCCAACTTCTTCCAATATTCAAGTTCAAAAAAATCGACTTTTTATGCCAAAATTTAGATCTCTCGTCGATACTTTCTTTTTTCTTCTTTGACTTTTCCTTCGTTGGCGTTTCCTTCTTTGACGCTCCTTTCTTTGACTTTATCTTCTTTAACTTTATCTTCTTTGATCCTACCTTCTTTGACTTTATCTTCTTACCCCCATGTAGTCTCAAATCCTACCAGATAGTCATAAAAATCTTCACTTGATGATGGTTGTGGCATAAAATCGTGCTCATATTGATTGTTGAAATGTTGTTTTCTTTTACGAAAAGGATGTTTAAGTGGTAGGAATCTTCTATGCCCAAGGAAGCATACTTTTTTGGACTTTGGCAACTTGTTAACAAGTATTCTTTGAGCATATTGGACAAGCAAAATTACCTTTGGTAACACACCCCGATAGATTACCATATGCAGGAAAGTCACTTATAGTCCAAAGTAATATTGCTCATACATTTAAGTGTTCTTTCTTATAAGAATCAAAAGTCTCAACGCCAGTTTCACACAAGAGAATTAGATCTTCTGTCAATGGTGCCTAGTAGACATCAATATTGTTACCCGATTGGTTTGGCCCGGATATCAACAGAGTCAACATCATGAATTTTCTTGACATACACAAATAATGGGGTAGATTATATGTTATTAGGCTAACCGGCCAACAAATATGCTTGTAACTTAATGACTTGTGAGGATTGATACCATTAACATACAAGGCTAATCTAAGATTTCGTTTTCCTTGTCTGAATTCTTTCTACGTGTTATCAACTAGCTTCCAAGATGGCGTATCACGAGGATGAGTAAGCTTCCTATTATTGACCCAACCTTGTGCATGACAAGTTAAGTCATGTGCAATTTGTGGTATTGAAAATGTTCTTCTAAATATAAAGATATAGGAAAGTACCACAAAACTTTTGAAGGTACGTTTTTGGTATTCTTCTTCCCACTAGAAGTGCCACAAGTTGGACATTGAGAAGCAACTTTATGTTCTTTCCAAAATAGAACACAATCATTTTCAGATACTTGAATCTTCTCAAATTGTATACATACTCCTTTTACCAACTTCTTGGACTCATATTTCGAGCTAGGGATGGTATTTTTTTATGGTAAGATATCTTTTAGGACAGACAATAAAGCATCAAAACTAGCATCAGACCATCCAAACTGGCCCTTCAAATGTTGGAATTTCAATAATCCACTAAGTGCATTATACTTTGATCCTACATAAAGTGGCTTATCACATTCTTTAAGAAGTGATTTCAACAAATCAGATTCTTCTTCTACATATTTGAAGGCATCATGTAGCATATCCTTTGTATAAATAGCATCAGGAGGAATGGAATTGTTAGGGCATCTAGAATCACTCTTGGGTTGTTTTTGTCAATGGAAAGACAAAATCTTATAATTCTCACCGAATTCGTGGGCAAACAAATGATAAAGGACATTGTCAATTGAGTGGTGACATATATTGATGCAATTTACACAAGGGCATGGAATAAAATCTAACTTTGGATTATTACTTTGTGCAAACTCTAGAAAAGCATTCACACCTTCATCATATACATTTGATAATCTACTAGAGGAAATCCATGATTTATCCAATAAACATTTGTTTCCAACCTACATAATTATTTACCATTTAAAGCAACAATGATTACACGTGTATAGGGACAAAAACTATGTAAAAACAAAACCTTACATGGGCCTAGACTATATAGGGACAAAAACTGTATAGGGGCTAAAACTGTAAAGGGACAAAACAAACTATACAGGGATAAAAAAAACTATACATGGGCCAATCTTAACAAATAAAACTGCCCAGGGGCCAATCAGATGTCAAATACATGTTTAGCGGCCAATCCTTTATAAAATTTTATATTTGTATTTGTTGTACATATGCAAGCTGATGCAAAAACTATGAAATTCATAGATAGTGTTTTGAAAACAGGGACAAAAATGAGTAAATGAAATTTTTTGTCCTTATGTAACTATGTTATAATAATTAAATAACATCAATATTTAGTAGTGTTTTTAGAATGTTTTTTATGTTTGCATTGGCCATTATTTGTTAAGTTTTCTTCCTGACTTTTTAACATATTTAATCAACATAAATGATCAAATTAAAGCAAAAAAGGGTGAGAAAGTACTAACAAGTCAAAACTGTATAAGGACAAAAAAAATTATACAGTGGCCAAAACTGATGCAGGGACCAAAACTGTATAGGGACAAAACTGAAGCAAGGACCAAAACTATGCAAAAACAAAACTATATATGGTATCAATTACTTTTTCAGCATCCAGGTATTTTTATTTAGTAAATTACTTTTTCGGCATGTTATTAGTATAAATCACTGTTTTCATTTTTTTGTAGTTCAGGATTGCATGTTGTTCATATTACTTTTTCATCATGTTATCAGATAAGTCTATGTGATCAGAACACAAAGAATGTTGTGCACATGCACGTGTGTAGGTAGGGTTGATGAAAAGAAGAAGACTTTAATAACCTAGAGACGAAAACAATAATTTAACCTAACTTGAATGATCTGATAATGAGCAACTTTCATATCTTCCAAAAAGAGGGTATTATCGTTATTTTGACTGGTATGCCCCTGAACCTCATTTTAGACATATTTTAGACATATTTTAGACATATTTCCTATGAGGCTGTCAAATTGTCACAACTAGTATTCGTAGAAAAGGAGGGGTCTACATAAGTAAAAGCCTACTAACTCTTGGAACTGTAAGTCCTTAATCATTATCATTATTTTATAAGTATAGTCTCCGAAGGTAAATAACGAAACAAGATTTGCGATAAATAATAAATTGCCACAGGTTACATCAAAACTATCAGATGGTAGAGCTGCTTATATACCTTAAAGAGACTCAAAATTGACCAGACTTCTTCAATCTTCTTTAAGTGGTCATGTAAGGATATATGTAAGTCTTCTTTAGGTGGTCATATATTTTATTTATTATTTTTTATTATTTCAGATTATTTGCATTGTTACTCCCTCTTGAAGTAATTCATAGGAGACACGCAACACATTGAAATTTGCACATCATGAAAAACACATTGAAATTCAAGCAGCACAAATTTGAATTATTTTCACTTGAGAGTTAAATTTGTAATCAAGAGTTTTCAATGTAAAACATTATATTTTCACATCAATGATCAAAAATACCTTATCAAGGCATATTAAAATCAAATTTGATCTTTAATAGAGAAGTTGCATAAGTAGGAGCAAGAAAGAGAAGCTAAAGATGCTTTAATAAGCCAAATACAAAGTCTCACAAGACTGATCCTAGTCTCAACCAAATCTCCACATCAGACTGATCCAGGAAGCAGATATTCCTTTAGGGAGTAGGATGTAAAATTACGACTTCGTCCCTATCTTTTTTATGTTTTTTTGTCTCTAAAATGAATTTATGTGTCTTAATTAATGATATAAAGTTAATATTGCAATATAGTAATTAGAAGTTTAAGAGTAAGGTCAATGAGAAGTGTAAATCATGATTAATGATATAAAGTTGAAGAGAGTTCTCATAGAAGGCTAATGAGAAGTGTACTATATATACTACATTAAGAGCTTTTAAAAAAGAAGAGTTCTGAGAAAAGTATTTTCAAATGTTTTATCATATACTAAGATACTAGTGAGTTGTATCAATCATGATTATATCCCATTCAAACATATTTTGGGTTAGGGTACATGTAAAGAGACTAGTGGTGAAGAGATTGGGTTTTAAAGAGATTTCGAGAAAAAAATGAATTATTTCTAATATAAAATATGTGTTTGTTTATGTTCAACTATAGGTGAATGACTTACTTTGCAACAATCATACATGGAAATTAAGTGCAGAACTCTTGCTGATGTTCAAAGTTGTGAAGCAGAAACCCCATGAAGCATTTGTTTGAGAGTTGGATTGAAAGCAGAAGAAAGAATAGAGAACTCCAAGAAGTTGAAAACATAGTACATGTAAACTTAATTGTGTATCCTGACTTGGTTTATCTTACCAATTTATGTCAATAGGAAGGTTTTATATGATGTGTTATTCTATAATTATTCCATGCCTTCAAACAGCGTGATATAATATTTTAGTTGATTGGTGTAGAATTTTTACTAGTTTTACATTTTATTACAGCATTGTCAAGCTTTTGGATTCGTATGTTGATCATTGGTGGACAATGGTTTGAAGTGACTATTTTTTACTACATGACAAAGCTCAGTAGACTATTGCATAACTTTATGAATTAAAAAGGAAGCCAAAATATCAAAATGATAGGTTTGGTCAAAAAGACCAAAACTATCAAAATTGACCAAAATGCTCAAAATGACTAGAAATTCTAGTTTGAGAGA